CGATGAAAATGCTAATCCGTCATTAGTCTCGCTCTGTGGAGCGTGTAAGTCGTTCGAGTTGTAAAATTCCCCGGAGCGGCCTGGATGACGCTGTTCCATCGGTCGCTCCCTCGGGATAAATCAAAACCGCGTGTCAATGATACTTCGCTCGTGCAGTCACGGTGCAGGTTTCCATCGGTCTTGAGATCTTATCAAAATCGCAATCGGACGATTTCGTTTCGACACGAAACTGATACGTGTTTCTTCGAAATGATTGGGAAAGATATTCGGTAAATTTTTGTCCAGGTAAATTAATTTCGATTGGATAAAACGATCGATAAAGAAGGTAACTTTTGTCGAAATGATCGAGAGAAAATATTAGATTTTTTTCAACATCTGCTTTCAATTCAACGTACGTACACACTTTAGACACTGGCTAAAAATTATCGATGAAAAATAGTGTCGTTTCGACAAACGATTAAGAAGATCTGCGTTGATGCTGCGTAATCGCATTAGCATAAAACGATCGGAGCTACTTTAAAGAAGTTACCTTAATAATAATTACCATTCATTTGCTTTTATAGGAGAAAGGAAAAGTCTTTTAATAACTGAGCCATTAAAATAAATGGGCATCTCAACAACTTATAGGCACACTTGGCTACGAGCAATTAAGTTTTCAGACAACTTTCTTAAAGTTTCAATAAAGATTACGAGAGGCATTTAAAGTAGGAAACTTATTGATACCTCTGGATCACGAATACATACATGCAAAATCTTTATTCTATTTCCAAACTTCATTTTCCAAGACTTTCATTCCGATGAAATTTATATATAACGTGAATTAAGAACGAAGTGATAGTGAAAATAATAATTTAACGCATATGAAATGTACTTTACATTAATGAAAATTTTTAAATACATTAGTACATCGTACATTTTAATTATATATACTTTTTTATTAATATATGAAGAGAAGAAGCCTCTTCGACACATCTGTTTAATTTAATTTAATGAAATTTCTTGCAAAATTAATAATACCTAATTGATGCAACTATACACTGGACCAAGGTAAAAACTACTCTGTGCAAATGGAAATAGTAGTTAATCTAATAGAGATATTACTATTTTTATATTGGACAGAGCAGTCTGCCTTCCAATAAATTGTCAAGGCACTTTTCTTTGAATCGATCGTCACAAGTGCTATCTATTTAACCAAATTACGAGACAACGTCGCGCCGGCTCTTGATGACCTATTTTTCGAGCGAAGAGTACATATTGCTTCTAGCAGAATGTCGTGCCACAACATTATCGACGCGGGACATTTTTTGATGTCACTTTATCCGAAAGATGGATGGCTCGCAGAGAAAATGTGGAGTACCCAGCTCGATTCCCTGTCTTAACCTCGATAGATTGTTACCTATAACGTTACTCCAAGCAACCTCGTGTACGTCACGTAACCAAGAACAAGGTAGCAACCTGAGCAACGAAATTGAAAATGCCAGAAACGAGAGGAAAAGAGAAGAGAGCAGTTCTCTACTGCACGTGGCTGTCAATAATGCATTAGCCTTGATGACGCTCTGCTTCAACATTTGTAACTTTAATGTACAGAAAATAAATAAAGATTGACGTTCATATCGTTGTACGTGTGATGTTTCTTAACGCTTGGAAGCATTCGTTCGAAATACTAAAAAGTATCTTTTTGAACTTTTCAATGAAAAACGGCAAGATTTTATCGTACCAACTTCTCGAAACAATCTCTAGCAAACACAATTTAGTGTACATATATACCAGTTTTTTTTCTATTAAAACTCAGTTTCCTCTCGCTAAAGAGAAAGATCTTTCTCGAGATCCTCTCAGCTAAGAAACTAACAGTTACGTTACAGCTGAAATTGCGGCGAAACCCAGCGGAGCATTTAATTCTATTATTAGCGATTTATCTCAAATAACTGCGATCAATCCCGCAAATTGTCTCGTTAAACAATAGCGTACATATAGATTACACGCGTCAAGCGCATCTGGCGCGGTCGAATAAAACAATCTGCGAACCATTACGTATTCGATGCAACATCACACACACACACACACACACAATTCTTTCAAGCACGTTTCAAACAGTTTCTTCTTGCCATCTCCTCGACGTTCGTCGTTCAAAGTGCATTGTTACGACGCCCTTGGTGTCATTCGCCTATCACGTTGGTGTAATGCAGCAGCACGGATCGAGATCGGCGCGCAAAGTCGGATGATCGGGCACCGTGAAATTTATAGCGCGCATCAGAATTTATATTCGTTTCTATCCGTTCCTCCTCGCCGGCTGATTCTTTTTTTCTTTTCCTCCGATCATGGGGGCCGGCATGCATTTTCCATTTCGACGCCAACGTGTCGATCATCCCCAGGCAAAAAGAGACGACGACGCGCGCCGCGATTGATCGATACGTTCGTCTAACGATACGCCTTGTATATTGTATCACGAAAATCCAAGCCGAAGAACACCGAGATAAGATCGCTCTGTTCGACGTATTACTCGACCAGGTACGATCTTGAGAATGATACAGCTGCTCCGAAAAATTTGAAAATTTTCTTTCTTTTTTTTTTGTTTTGTTTTGAGTATAGCTATATACATAATATTGTTTAACTTTACAACTGTATGAAATATACTGGATATGATGTTTGCGTGAATAAAAACATGCACAGTAGTTATAATAATTTTATGTAATTGTCGTGTAATTATTATAACAGAATCTTTGTGAGAACTGACTCAGTGTGTAATTTTATTTGAAAGCAAACAATTATTTGGAATTAAACTATTTCACCATTAGTCGGAATTACGAAGAACGTATATTACGAAATTATAAGCAGTGATGAGAATTTGAAAGAAAAAGATGAGAATTTCAGAAATTAAACGAACCTCCTCTGCACCCTTGAGTTTAATAAACTTCGAGTTTTTAAATTCGTTAAAAAATTTCCTCTCGTTTATATTCTTTAAAGCTGTATATCTGCAATATCATTCGTTTTAACATTGATTAAATTGTCGGTTTACACGTTTACATGGGAAATGCTTCCGACGAAACGGATGAAATATGAATTTAACAAATTTCAACGCGAACGAATGCGAGATTTATGAATGCGAGATTCACATTTTGACAAAATACAGTATCAACAGAAACAACCCAGACGTTGCCTGATTGATTTTCCTTCCGAAAAAAAAAGAATCTTGGAGCAGAAACAGAATAATCGAGAAAAGATACGAAATATTCTCTTTTGATTTCCCATTTTGAAATAGACAATTGTTCACGAGATTGTGCTTTTTTCCTTCTCGGAATCTGCGGCTTAAAATGAGGTTTAGTTGCATTTTGCAGATATGCATATACGTCCATCTACTAGGGGAAAAATTACTTTACTTTCCCAACCAGACCAATAATTTCTTACTTAGTCGTTTCCTGGTGCAATTAACCCATTTGATATATACAATAACTGTACAACATACAAGCCGCGCAACAAAAGATATCAAAGGAAGTAACGATGCGAGAAATAACCGGCAGGCGTAATACGCGCAAACTACCGTGTGATACGTTTCACACGGTGTATAAAGCATACGACATTCCTGTTCAAACGGAACTACACTGCCAAAGAATTTCAGAAATGTTATACCCGTCGAACATGCCTCGCGGCCTCTCTTTTCTCCTGTGTCTCGGCCACGACAAACGTCCGAATAAACTGTCTTTATTTCTCACCGATACCCGCATCGATCGCCAAAATTGGCCTCGTTTTCGAAACTGAGGTTTCCTCTTAAAAATCGGACGGTTTTTTTTTCTTTTCTTTGTAAGAGAACTCCCTTTTTTGAAATTTGACCTGAAGCCTGAACAAAACAGAAGTTAAGAAATTATCAAAATTTTCGAGAATCAGACTGTAAAACAACGTATGTATTAATTATAATAACTTGCATTAAATGTATGGAATATCCAAAGTATAGTGCTTTCTATAATATTTAGTAATATTTAGTAACAATCTTCTACCAAGATTCTGTTTCTTCGATTAAGCAACAAAAATAAAGTACAGTTTGTCTTGGCAGTTGAACTTTTGATTTCCATGCACAATACTTTATCAACCGTGTATATATATATATCTTTGGATCTAACAAGCTTTTTTTAGTTACAAAGTGACACTGAAAAACACATTCACAAAAATGATCCTTGACCGATCTCTACATCTGTCCCGTTAATTTCTCTGTTATATTTACGACTATGGTTATTTGCCTCCACGCTGTGAACGATCCCTCAAATCTATCGATCTAAACTTTGACCTAAATTCCTCGTTTAATTCGCTGGAAATTTTCGTCATGAATTTTAGGTCGAGAGATTACAATGTCAATACGTGGCTCTTAGTTCATTACTTGCAATGATCATCCCTATCGTTTTTATTTTCGAACGACAAAGATTTTTGCTATTAGCGATGTTTCCAGTATGCGACATTTACTTTTTCCTCTGTGCAAAATTTCTTTTATGCAAAATACACTGTATGTTTTAAACGTCGTTAACGAGTTGATTTGTGAATGAAATATTGCAGAGTAATTGACAGAAATGTCAAAGTTTTAATACAACATTTCGCGTAGCATTTACGGAGTGTTAATAAAATATTCAGAAATGCTTAAAAGCTGCCACGATTGTTCAATCGATAAAACATTATGCAAAGAGGATAATAATGTTTTCAATATTAAAACAGTCGCATCATTCTGACGTTTTAAATCAGTAAGTTACATAATCAAACTTATAAAATATTACTCATAAAACGACCGAATATTATTTATTTAAAAAAAAATTCGAGCAACGATATGAATCATCCGAAAAAATATTTAATGCAACATTGTTCTTTTATTGCCTTTTGTCTCAATGAATTTACATAAAACTTCGCGTATGGAAGTTTAAACGGAGCACACAGCGTTAATTACGTGATCGCGTTAGCATTCAGCTTATTTTCAACTCGTCTTATCTGCGCCAGCAACGATTATTTTATTTCCACAATTATCTTTCTTCTACTTGATTGTCAATAATCGGCTGACACTTCGAATCAGAGGCAATGATCCACGGGGCATATTTCTCGATTCCATTGAAACGCTCCAAAACCAAAACACGCGTTCCGATTAAACTGATCGATCCACTGACTTTTCAACCGCGAGAAGTCGGAATTTTTTAAATAAACGCGACGCGAAACAAATAAAACCTACAGATCCACATGGCAACGAGATTATTAAACTTGGACTTTTCGAGATTACAAACTCACAAATAACTATTAAAGAATCGAACTATCTAAGACTAAGACAGTTTATTAAGGTATCTTGTTCTAATTTTATATATCTCATAAAATATGAAAATATTTTAGTTCGTAAAAAGCTGTTAAAATGTCAAAAAAAAAAAAAAAATTTCAATCGTGTTTTTTTTTTTTCCTTTCCTCTATTCGTGCAAAAACTCATTTCTTGACATCGATGAAGCAACACCTTCCACAGAGTAAGACATTCGAGGGGTTCCAAGACATCGCTAAATCTGCAGAAAATATGGTCTAGTAACATGTAATAGTCATCGAGCGGCATATGAAGCGTAAACTAGCATTGCATGTCGCACGTTGCACGCTCGTTGAATACGTCCAAACGAGCGTTCACGACGAGCGTTTTGCCCTTACGCGATACCTCACGAAGCCGGGACATTTTAATCAGTTTTTCCTTACGTTTCTTACACGATGACGTACCACTTCCTACTCGCGCCAAGAGAACTTTTTATCGAGGTTTTTTTAATTTAGTTCGCGTTTATTTCTATCGCAAGAGAGAAAAGAAAATTTACGATATCGCTTTTAAAATCTGATCATTGATTTAATTCTACTCGCACACACTATTGACCTTCATTCCCGCGCGGTATCAGCGGCGAAATAGAGATAGACGATTCTTATAAATTTATAGGTGAGATGATTAAAGGGAGTTGAAAGCTTATCGCTGATAGACTGCGTGGTATTGGAGTAAGTTAGTAGACATCCTGACATCTTTGGAATTTTCTTTTATGATTGCCATTTCACTTTGCCGCGTAATATGACGATGCAACGTAATATGACGATCAGATTTCGACATTGACGTGGTAATATTATTTAGTATTTACCAAACGCTTCGAGAGGAATTTGGAAAGTAATTCGAAAATATCCAAAAATCAAATATTTCGTTGATGTCTCGGCATATGTATGTTAAAACGTGTATACGTAAAATTCGGAAAGGGAAACGAACATTATAAATCTTCAACAGATAATTCCTTCGTCTTAGCCATATATCTCTATTATTTCGATCGGGAATATATAAGAATCTTTTGTAGTATGTTAAAACGCCACACGCCATCTCTCTCATTCTCTAATTGCACTTGCGTCCCCGCGTGTTCCACGCCGATCTTCTCGATCCGCGGTAGAAAGAAAAATCCATCCCCACACTTTCGAGTAAATAAGAACAACAAAGAAAGAAAGAAAAAAAAAAAGAGCAACCGCTTGAATGCATCCGCGACGGCTTTCCAAAGGATCCCCAAGGAGAGATCGTTCTCCCATAGAATTTCGGAGAACGGAGCCGGCCGGCCCGCCTTTAAAACGAGCAACGCGAGCTCGAAAATTCGCGTAAATTATGGGATAAGTACAGCGCGAGTCAACAATAACATCCTTTTGGAAAGTTCGGCCCGCGACACACGTACACGTACCAGCTTGAGCGCACGCACACAACAGGCCCCGTTGCTGAATTCGAGATTAAGCGATGCCAGAGCCGTATAGTTTCCGGAAAGTTCTCGCGATCATTTATATATATATATATATATATACATATATACATACACGCGAACGGTGACTACATCGCGAGAGAGAGAGAAAGACAGAGAGATTTGATATATCGTGGCCGCAAATTGGTTCCGTCCGTTTCCCTCCCAAAATAAAAAGCAAATTTATGGAAATGCATACAATGGCGGCGAGCGCATAATACTCGTGGCCCGTCGCGTTCCTTCGCCTGCCGGCGCTAATATCAATAACAATGAGAACAAAAATAATAGCACGCACAAGTCCGTGCACGCAGGTAGACGCGCTGGTTTCACGATGCGAATCGTGAGGACTGACAAAAGGATCAAAAAGAGGAACCGGAGGAATGTCTGGTGCGGCGGTGCCCGAGAAATCGTCTGGAATGGTCCTCGCCGGCCGCGCCGTTTATTTTACCGAGAGCAACGCCGAAAAATTTCTCCGGTTATCGTCATTCCCTGCCCTCTCTTTCTTTCTTTCTTTCTTTCTTTCTTTCTTTCCCTCCCGATTTTAAAATCTCCTCTTTCGTTTCAAGTCCTCGTGAAACATTATTATGTATAGGTAAATATTAAGGTAAAAATGTTTTCACTCAGTTGCTTCTTGAAATAATTATTGGTGAAACTGAATATTTTCGAATCGTTCCATCGAAGAATTTCTCTCGGGGAAATTTTCCAAAAAATGATGTGTTTTCAATAAAATAAACATCTGATGAATATTTAAAATGATGTACGGTTTCATTTACTTGGTTCATGTAGTTATCTTGAAATAATTATTGTTGTTGGTTCTTAGTTGAAATTAAATGTTTTCGAAGAATTTCTATCGGGAAAATTTTCCAAAAAAAAGGTATTACATGTTAAATAAAATAAACATCTGATAAATGTTTGAAACGACGTACGGTTTCATTCAATTGAATGGTTCTTGCAATTATTTTGAAATAATTATTGTTGTTAATTTCCAGTTGAAATTGAATATTTCCAGAGAATTTCTATCGGGGAAATTTTGTTTTTGTTCCATTTATTTGATACAACATAGCTTACGCTGACGCGTAAATATATAGCTGCGAGAATCAGGGGAGAAAGGCGAAAGAAACGATGGGAAAATGCGTGAGTATTTGTTTTGCCGCTTCCCTGTGTGTGGAAACGGTTTACAAAAGGTGAATGTTCTATCGATCGGCGTGATTGTTGCAACGGTTATCAACCATACGTGATCGCACACGGAACACTTTCAGTAATAACAGAGTATCAAGAACCGAAGATCGCTATCTTTGAAATGATAATTCGTCAAGCACGACGTTCGCAAACTTCGACAACAAACATTAACAAATTTTTCATCGAACAATTCGCTCGATTGTCGAAGGTTCGTATCAATCTATTTAAACTCGTTGACTCATAATATATCACGGTAATATAAACGA